ACTTTTTGTGGATCATGTTTTTACTCTTGAGTTAATTTTCTAATATTTACTACTGTTTCTTTTTTTAATTTCATTCCAGTCTGTTTGATTGAATCATCTCGCAATATACTTTGATTCTTGTAGGTCAGTATCTTGTTAATTTTTTGTTTGTTCTCTTCCCTCTGTTGTTTCTATATTTCCCTTTGAGCATCATCTGAACTGAAAATTTCTGGCACATTTAACCAATTTCGTATCAAATTTACCATCGTCCAGAAGCAGATAAATAATTACTTTATATCTGCTATGCGTGATTAGACTTCAATAACATGAGAGAGAGAGAGAGAGAGAGATAGAGAGAGAGAGAGAGAGAGTAAATTGACATTGGCTTAAACCATTATTCAGGTCAGTTAAGGAGGACAGAGACAAAACGACTATTACGTAGATAAACTGCTATGGAATTTTCACAGATAATACGTGCTGCTTTCATTTGATAGAAACGGGCGAAGTCGGAATAATTGAACTAGGCTAAAACTGTGTCATCTAAAAATTACCTCTCTTCACAATCCTACTGCAATTTGATAATTTGACATGTTGCTTCTGTTTTCAACTTTGTTCTAATGTCAACAACTATCTCTCCCTCTTTCTCTCTCTCTCTCTCTCTCTCGCTCTTCCTCACTGATCAAAGTAAAAGTTTGTCCACTTCAGATGTCGCCAGTCAACGTGTTTTCCCAACTTAATCCCCTTCCCTGAGAATCAATTTAACCTCATGTTTATGCATGCATATTGTGTTATGTTCATGTGTGGGATTATTAAAACTCCAAAGTGATTTTTTTCTCTTAGAAACTTATCTCTAGAATCAAAAAATTTCATTTCTTTAAAACCCGTGCTGAGTGCGAATAGACTGTGTAGATGGTATTTTTACGTGTGTTCTTTGTAGCTACGTGTAAAAATAAGGAACAATTTATGCATAGGAATACATCAATATTCAAGTATGTGAGATTTTGGATAAATGCAAATTCAACTACATTTTCTTGCATGAATGCATATATATGCATATGTGTGTTTGTAGGATGTACCGAAACAAAAGAGATGATGATGAGACAATGTAGAACATTTTTAATAAAGACGCGTATCGGCGGAGAAAGAGTATGTTCGCAGTGGCTTCTTCAGTTTGAAGCTAAAAGAAAGATAAAACTGTTCTGTAAAGAAAAATATCTTGAGATCTCAGAGGATACGTAGATATCACAAACCAAATTTATAAAATGGCTCATATATATATATATATATATATATATATATATATGTGTGTGTGTGTGTGTGTGTGTGTGTGTGTGTTTGTGTGTACGCGCTCACTCGCGTGTTTGTGTATATATATTGTACGGTTGTGAGTGTGCGTATGTGAATGTGAATGTGTTTGCGGGTGCATATGAGGGCGTACATATGCATATACAAGTATCGACAGGTATATATAAATAGTTTTATGCCGTGTATGATATGTACATGCGTGTGTATATGTGTTTATGCATGTATGCACAAGTATATATCAATGGGCATGTATATGTGTACATGTATGTACAAGTATGAAAAATAAAAGGGCTTTAATACATATATATGCCTGGGTGAATCTGTATGTAGGTACATATATGTAAGAGTGCATATATGTGTATATATATATATATATATATATATATATATATATATATATATATATATATATAAAACATTAGGCAGCATATAATTTACATACGAAGAAATAATCACACATAGAATCAATCAGAAGTATCAATGCGATTATTGGCGACATCCATCGCTAGAAAACATAATATATGCATTAAAATACTGTTCATCCATAGTGCGAGTTGATACTCATCGATAAACTTGTTGTCTGTAGTTTTCAGTTTATTTGATGTTAAAATGCTACTACTTACGAATAGTTTTCTAATCATCATCAGGCATGTGTTTTTTTCCTTATAAAACTTGAAGACGATATACCTGTAAAACTACTACTAAGACATTACACTATATTATTGAACTATATACTTAGTTCATGACATAAAAACTGAATACACTTGTAAAAATAGAATACGTGGATTTAACACATCACAAGAAATATTTAAATAAAATTCTCATTTAAAATTTTGAAAAACTTTGCGTTGCGTCTTTGCATGTTCCGAGATCTTACACAACCGTCAATAATAGCAGATATTCAAAAAAACATCTTTCGATCGACATACAGGTATATCGTCTTCAAGTTTTTGATTTTATGAGGATCAAACTCGCACTATGGATGAACAGTATTTTAATGCGTATATTATGTTTTCTAGCGATGGATGTCGCCAATAATCGCATTCGTATATATATATATATATATATATATATATATATATATATATATATATATATATATATGTCTGTCTGTATGTATGTATGTATGTATGTATGTGTGTGTCTCTGTCTGTGTGTGCATAATAATAATAACGGCTCTAATACAGATATAAATAAAATAAACACGCACAGAGACAGACAGACTCTCTTCACGTCACAAGTCAGGATGTTATAAGCTAGGGTTATTAATTTAATTTATAATATCTACTTATCTTCAGAGACATTTTTCTCACACACAGTTTTGTCTTCCTTTTACTTTCAGAATGAAGAAGATAAAGAAAACATCCGCTTTTTCGGGCGAAACGGGTCTTTGATAAAATTTTCACACTTTGTCTCATCATCTTTGCTTCATATATGCATATATGTAAATATATTCACACACACATACACACACACATACATATATATATATATATATATATATATATATATATATATATATATATATATATATATATATATATATATATATATATATATAGAGGGAGAGAGGGTACTTAAAATTTATCCGCCCGGTCAACTCAAAATCTTACCAAATGAAAAAACCTCAATTTTATTTTGTAATTTTTTCATGTTTTGGGCGAAAACTTATCATCGTCACTTTCAATCCATGTGTAAATTCTTATCCATTTAAAAAATTATATAAAGATATATATCTTTATGTGATTTTTAGTACTATGCCTGCTGCTTAATTTAATTTATTATATGTTTGTTTTCTTTTTAGTGTTTTAAACCAAAAATGAATAAACCCGATTTTGGTACGATTATGTTTTGAGTTTAAACTCGGCCATTGTGTTCTGTTATGTGCCATGAGTGATACATGCTTAGGCGATCATGTTTTTTTCGATACATGACTAACGAGGCAGATTTCTTCCCGCAGTAGATTGCCATTTCTTTCTGCGGTAGACCAGTTGCCGGTCTGTCCTGCTATTTACCCATAGCTGGGGGAGAAGAAGAAGATTCATACCTTTCCCAAGGGTATTAGCATGACTGGAATCAAAATTTGCAACAGAATGAACTCACTCTCGGTTTATTGGCAACACTGTGTATTCTAATAATGTTTACTTTGACTTAGTTGCGTTTGAGCTAAGTTATGACGTCTTAAATTCTGTTGTTCAAAACGGCCATTTATTTTGTTACATCCTGGTATATCATTCCGTATCTATCTAAATATCTCTGTTTTCTTGTTTAGATAGATAGATAGATAGATAGATAGATAGATAGATAGATAGATAGATAGATAGATACTCGTATATTAATTAACGGATTAAATAGATATATCCAGATGTTTATGCATTTATATATATGAATGAAGACAAACTGAAACTTATCTTAGCCCAAGGCTTTCGACCTATGATGGACTTTAGATACACACACACACACACACACACACACACACACACACACACACACAGATAGATAGATAGATAGATAGATAGATAGATAGATAGATAGATAGATAGATAGATAGATAGATAGATGCATACATACATACAGTGTGAACATCAAAATCAACACTACATGGGGATTGGCTGTTTGATTTGTTCTAATGATCATTTAAGGTGGGAAAATGCTTGCCATCAGTTGATTTCTATTTCCACTCTATTTATATAAACATACGCATTACTCCCATTATTTGGCATTTTTCCTTCATGAATATACCAAATTTAATATATATATATATATATATATATATATATATATATATATATATATATATATATATTCATTATTCACATATGGTTTTATATATATATATATATATATATATTCTAACAATTCTTACGAATTCATTTTTAAGCATATTACTTACTAGATTTGACTGACCACAATGAGATATGTACCTTCGCATCAGATGAAGCCAATTTTAGTCAATATTTCATAAATGCAGATACACATATATAATCAGTAGATATATTATACTAATCTTGTAAAACAATTCGTGAGTTTAAGTTTGATCCTTGATTTTTTTTTTTTTTTTTTTGCTCAATAAAAATAATCAGAACACCTTACCGTGAAATAATGGTTAACGAGCTAGTTTAGCAAAACAATTCTAATGTGTAGAGAGGTCCATCCTCCCTGGGTGCTCCACATTGATGGTCTTATGGCAGATGAACCTAAGAATAGCCAAAATCTATAACAGGAATTACTGTGCGTTTGTGTGAAGATGCTTTTGTATCGATTAGAGTTTTGAAGTTAATATTTTCCCAAGATACATTTGCAGGTATTTTGAATATCTAATTCGAAATTGAACGTAATCAGAGGGGGGGGGGCTGACTGAAGCCGTAACTTTGAAGCTAATAGATGAGTGTCCTACCTAAAAGGTAATGAATGTTGACAGCCAATGATTTTCCCTCTTACTAGTAACATAGAATCATAACTTGCTTCATTAGTATCAGAAAAGTAAGCAAGACCACAAGCCAACTAACTTTAAGATAATATATCAGATTTTGGCAGCTAAACCCAGGTTTGTACTTTGACAACTCTTCAGATCATAGGATGAAAAAGTTGTTCTTACCGTAGAGCAATGTAGAGCAAATTCATTTCATATGCTATTTACTAGTGTACTGAGTTTGATTTTCATTGATGACCTCGAATAACGGATTCAGCTTAGCGATTCCGTTATTGAAATATCGATGTCACAGACTGAGACTATCTATCTATCTATCTATCTATCTATCTATCTATCTATCTATCTATCTATCTATCTACCAGGGTTGAATTAACTCCATTGAATATGTATTATCGAGTGATGACTGTTGCAGCACGTCAGTGGTGGTTGTGGTGATGGAGCGCCTGTGTTGGTGTTTTAATATGTATGAACTAAACATAAAACTAAATTTAGGTGTAGTCTCCAGCGATCAAACACATTTTTACATTCACAGATACACTCACTCTCTCTCTCTCTCTCTCTCCGTATATATATATATATATATATATATATATATATGAATGATAATAAACTCATTTTAGGATGTTAATCATTGTTCAACTATAATTTATACGCTTCCAAATAGTTTTGTAAAAGGATACGATTTTGCTTCGCCCAGAGGCTTAACGACATAACCGAATAACGAAGCTTTAATAGATAACATTTCTTGGATTTATGCTTGTTTTAAGTCATGAGCTATAATGCTTACGCTTTAAAACATGACAAATCCATAGGGAATTAAATACCAGGAAAGAGTTTAAAAGATGGTAAAATACAGATAAAAAACATGCATATAATTAACATTCCTAAAATGTCAAATTTTAGTCAAATTTTCCTCATTAAATTAACCAACAAATGTAAGTAAAATTTTCAATTCTTATATTTATATGATAAATAGACTGTGAATATCTGTGTAATATAGATTTTTATAATAAATATTTACAATAATTTATTTAGATAGGTGAGATTTGTTATCACAATTCAAACACACACACAGAAACACATGTCAAATCAGTCAGGTTTTCGATCCCGGCTCCCGGCTTGAAGCAATCGGACGTCTAGCTACACTAAGGTGCTGTGATGCAGCGAAACAGTCTGTCTATGGATGAATATATATATATATATATATATATATATATATATATATATATATATATATATATATATATATATATATATATATATATATATATATATATATATATATATGATAGTATCATTTTTAATATCAGATATAGAAAAACATCATGGTACTTCAGAAGACGAACAAGATATTGTAAAAGTATTGAGTGATGACAACGCAACGTTAGAAATTGTGAAACGGTTGAATCGAGATCTGAGAATAAAAAGGAAAGTGAAAACATTCGTAAATACAAGAAAAAATTGGCTTTAACAATGTCACAAATAGAGATTTGAAAAAAAACTTCAAGAGTAACAAATAAGAAAAGTGGATTAACCAAAAAAGAAATCATTGGAACAAGTTTGTGTTGCGAATGTAAAAAGCATGAAAAAATGCAGAAATTTATGAACATTGGTTAACCAAAAAAGCAACTAAATGTACCACTTTTAAGTAAATCTCACTATGAGATATGCATAAGTCGGGTGAAGAAGTACATGAAAAATAATTGTTTTTTGTAGGCAGTAAAATTATAGGTCACTTCAAACTTGATAAGAGTGTCAAGATAAATGCACAGAATTATTCTAAGTTCTTGAATAAGCTTTTTTATTTTAGCCATGAAGAAGATTTAAGCTAAAGAATACATTCATGCAAGATAATGCTCGTTTATATTCCACAAATCTGTCTACTTTACAAAAACAAGTTTCAATAACACCTAAGTAATAGGTTGTCCAAAAGCCACTCCAGATTTTGAATACACCAAAGAAAAGAAATTATATGAGAATAATCAATAAAAACTGTTTCAATTCATATTAAAGTGAAAACGGTAGAAATGTTATGAAAGTCAAGAGCTGAAAGACTGGTGAACGTTCTAGAACGTCAAAGAGTCAATATTAAAAAGTAAAATAATTTATTGAGTTATATGAAATGTTGTGTTATATCAAATATATGTCACCTGTTTTGAGGATTTATTTATAAATAAAAAATTTTGTTGTCTTTTACAAAATAAATCTAATACCCACTCCAAACAATTTATTACCAATACTATCAATAATAATAATCTGAAACTCGCACGATATATTGCTCTTATAAACATAAATATATCCTGAAAATTTTATAAATCTTAACGGTTGGTTAATAATTTTATTGTGAAAATACTTACTTGCATAATAAAAATAAATAAAAATGTAATGAATATTCACTCTGTTATTAATATTTCTTCTATTTGGTTAGTGAATTATCAAACTGTAGACGAACTCTAAATTTTTAAAAGATGAAACGAGATAATTATGCTGATTTCAACATTTTCTTGCAATAAAAACTAAGTGTATATTATGAAGAATAAAGATAGTGATCCTAACGCTTATCATTTTTGTTGATTGTGTGTGAGTACAATTTTGCCTTGTAAGTATACATTCGTGCCTGTATGTACGTGTGTGTCCACGCTAAGATAACTCTATATGCTCACTCACGCAGAAAAGGAATTCCCAAAATACCAATATATAAAAAACACGACACGACCATAACATATTCACCTATAATATCTTTTCACGCCAGACCTCAAACTTCTATCATTTCTGTATCTTTCTCTTTCTTTAATTTATACCAATTTTCTCTTTCTCACACTTTTTTTTTTTTTGCTTATTCTCTTTTATTTCCCTTTCTCTTTTACTTGTTTTTCATTGTTTTACAAAAAGGCTTCTCCCACTTTCCTTTTTCTTTCTGTTCTTTCAATTCAGTTTTGTTTTCCATCTCTGTTTTTTATTGTTTTTATCTTTCTCCCCTTGACCTTTAATGCTTAATTAATACTTACTCTTTCTTTCACATTCATTTCTGTATTTGTCATTTTCTTTCTCTCCTCTGCTCTCTGTTTTCTTTTCTTTATCAATTTCTCTTCTTTTTCTCTCTTCTTCTAATCTGTTCTTCTTGTTCATAATTCATTTAATAAAATCTTTTTGTGCATAGTTCATTTAATAAAATCCTTGTAAAGTTTGTACTGAGACGAGAAAACCCCTTAACATTAAGTATTTTTACTATTCCTTTTCTGCTTTTCTGACTTCTCTTTCTTTTCCAATTCCCCTAATATTAATGCATTTAAAATCTCTCTTTGTCTCTTTTTCATATTCAGCCATTTATATATCTTTCTTCACTTCCTTTTTCCATTTTCCATTCCACGTTCTCTTACTTTGAAAATGCCTTTCAGAATTGTCCTCTCCTTGGTTCATTAATTTATTCTTTTCTTTTCTCTCGCTTTTATATCATATTCCTCTCTTATAGTTCCAATATTTTCTTTCTCTTTCCTCTTTCATTTGATCATCTTTATCTGAAACGTTTTTTTTTTTTTTTTTATATTTCAAACTTCTCTTTCGCTTTCCTTTCTCTTCTTTCTTTCTTGTTTTTTTCAGTTTCTCCCATTTTTGTACTGTCAAGGTTTTTTTGTTCCTAATCTATCTCCAACCCTACGCCTTGTCACATGTCTACACACTATTTTACCTTCAATGACAGAGAGTACCCATGGGCTTCACAGGTTGACGGTGGGCGAACGGGTTGACAAAATAAAGAAAACAAGTGTCTAATCATAGCGTGGGAAAAGCTTCTGGCGAGGGTCTGACGCTTAAATTGGACGCTGTACGATGCAGACAAATCTGCATAAGATGAAGCCACCGGTAAGATAAAAATGGGAGAGTATTAAAAAAGAGGAAGAATTGAAACGATAAAAATGCTTAAGGGAGAATTTTAAAATGTGGAATAAGATGATATCAACAATAGAAAATATCCAGAAGAAAAAGAAAAAAGTAATAGAGATAGATAGAAATGTGGGAGAAGAAAAAGAAAAATGAACAAAAAGAAAAGCGAGGAACCAAAGGCATAAAAGAGGAGTTGAGACCAAAAAAAGAAATAGAAACAGGTAATAAAAATATAAGAGAAAAAACGTAAACATATGAATTGTTAAAAATGAAAGAAGTGCGAAAAAGAAAGAGAAAGAAAGAGAAAGAAAAGGTAAAAGGGACGATTTAAGAAACAGGGACAAAAGGAAGGAAGAAACGGACAAAGAAAGAAAAAGAAAAAAAGGAAGAATTAAAAGCAACAAATACTTTATATTATTATGAACAAATACAAATAAAAAAAGATGGAAAGTAAATGTAAGAAGCCGGTTGGGAGAAAAAAAAAAGGAAGTGGCATGACCTCTTTTGTTACTCAATCTTAGTCATAAGAGTACGCACATACACAGATACACACCCAAGAACACACACACGCGCACACACACACACACACACACACACACACACACACACACACACACACACACACACACACATATATTTCTTCAAACGTTATTTTTAGCAGATAATATTTGATGTAATAAAAATGTCGGATTAAAATTAAATCCATTAATTCTTAAGATATATATATATTAAAAAATTATAACATATATAAACGCCCTTGGGCTAATTAATTGAAACAAAACGAATAAGTGCGTTATTATTTACTTTTTTTCGTATTTTTCTAATGAAACATGACCCAGTGCACATGTTAGTACTTCCTATGTCCATTCAGCGAAGTAGTTCCTAGCAGATTGATCACAAATTCTCGATTGGATCTAAATCAGGAGAATTTCCGGACCAGTCTATAGTACTTTGATTTGATTTGGTAAGGCATGCCAGTGCAGCGTTACAATTTTCGTACGCTTCCTTGGAGTAACGTCCATCACAGACAATGGCCGTAGGACAACTAATCCACAGTCGAGACAGTAGTGTCTGGGTGTGATGAAAATCTGATGCAATCATGGATGACGCAATATTTTTCAAGGTCAAAAAAAAATCATCATACACGTAGAAAATAGATTCATATTACTTTAAAACTGACCGTATGGTGAAAGAAAGGAAACTAAAGCAGTTTCAATTAATTTGCACAAGGGTATATATATATATATATATATATATATATATATATATATATATATATATATATTGGCAGCATGTTTTCATGAAGACATGTCTCATTGAATAATTTAGACAAGTTTTGTCTACTTATTTTCAATAGGATCCTCTCATATTCATGTACAAACTTCTTAGTATCGTTATTAAAGGAAGAGAGAAAATTACCATGTTGATACATATTCATTTGTTACGAGTACTTTCGACATTAGCACAATGTCATAATCAGGATGTTGTTTTTTTTCTAAGACATAATTGTTGTGCTTATTTGAAAGTCAAATTTTTTAACTGTGAAATTATTTTATGTACTGTGCTGTTTAAATTTCACTTTGTAAACGACAGTGGGTAACTAAGTTTAAAATGCCAATATGGTTTTTAGTTTATGTTTATTATTTTCATGAAAAATTATAGATGTATTATTTTAGATGTATTTTCAACAAAAAAAATTCCTAAATTGCGAATGTGGACAGGAATGCTGTTGTAAATGTGATATGTTTAATGCATTATTCGAATGAAAACTCAACTTCGTGACAACGTAGTAGTAGTATGACCAAAATATAAACTATTTTTTTCTGTTGGAGATTCAATCTCCCAAGGGACATTTAAATTTATATACAATGTTGGATTTCTGCAAAACTTTAGTTGGTGGTGAGGAGTCATTACGAATGATTAAATTGGATATATGGAATTTAGTATAGTATATAATTAGTTTTATTTTTTTACTAGGATCTGTGATGGATATATGTGTATTTATTTATTTTGTTTAAGATATTTTCATCTTGTTTATAATTAGAATGCATTTTATTGCAATATAAAAGATTAATATGTTTAGGCTTAATTGAAGAAGTATTATATTCTGTTTGCTTTATATTAAAATCTCTAATACAACATCTTATTTGTCCATCAACAATATAATTAGCGAAGTTATTAATAAGAGTTTGCTTTACTAAAAATTCTTGAAGCTATCTATACTAAAAAATTGAAACTAACTTTTAATACAATTAATTATGCATACTGCATAAATGTTTTAAAATGTTTTAAGAGTAGACAATTTTAAATATCTAGGTTTTAACTAATAGTTTGTTTTTTTGTTTACAAACTTTGTTAGCTCCCATGACGTTTACAAAGTGAAATTTAAACCACACAATACATAACTTTAGCGTTTTTCAATCCACAGTTTAAAAAAATTCACTTTCAGATGAACACAACGATTTTGTCTTGAAAAAAAAACAAAAAACAACACCGTGATGATGACATTGTGCTAATGTCGAAAGTACTTGGAATAAATGAATATGTATCAACATGGCAATTTTCTTTTTTCCTTTAATAAGTATACTAAGAAAATTGTCCGTGAATATGAGTGGATCATTCATATATATATATATATATATATGTGTGTGTATGTGTGTGTGTGTGTGTGTGTGTGTGTGTGTGTGTGTTTAACATTCTTTTTATAGATACAAGTATTTAAGTAAATGGTCTGTTTATAATAAACAGTATTAAATAACATTTACCGGCCTGTATCTATAAAAAGAATGTTAAACATAAAAATATCTTAAAATAATTTCATAATATATATATATATATATATATATATATACTGAACAGAGTGACTTTTCATTGAATGTAAGCAAGTAGCATATCCATTGCACAGATCTTAGAAGGCAGAGAAGTGAGACTGATTCGAAGCAGAAATACCAAATGCATACGTACATAATCGCATTCTTACGGGTACCGTATATGATAAAATAAGAAAAAATGTGTAGTCCTTCATGGAGTCCCTTGTATCTATTACAGTGAAAGCGCAACTTGCTTGTTTTACTCTATCATTTGTAAACACAGACAATGAATATAGCAATCATTTTTCTGTGATTATCTTATTAAATACGTGAACAGTTAACAGATTAACCGCTAACTCAGCTCCTATCTACTTTAGAGGCATACAACATTTAGAATAAGACCATGTCGAGTTTACTAACTCATGAAGAAAAAACAAAATCCGTTATTTATCAAAGAACGCCAGCCTTAAAGATATCAAAGACTAGAAATCATAGATTACAAAGTATATATTTTATCTTTCACTTATACAACGACACTAATTCTCTTTTAAAAGAATTTACTAATGAGAATCCCATGTATATAAAGTGAAGAAAAAAGTTCCTTTAAGACCAACACCCGTTATCGTATTATCATCAATGTTAGGCGACGTGAAAAGTGGTTAATGTGAGGAAAAACAAAACCGGAGACCATTTGAAGCGTAAATGCTACAATAATCAGCGGCTTAAAAATGATTAAGGGAGCATAACATCAATAATATAGGAGTGAATAAATTTTAAGTGTGCAGTCGTACGACCTCCTGTTTGTATATTCATGTTTAGTCTTCCAAAGAAACGATAAATTTATGCATCACTGTTACATCCTTTTTGGTTTTTCATTGTATCCGAAACTCAGATACAGTTATTTCATGGAAAAGTTTTCTCATATATACGAACTTTGTAAAGAGCTAAACAAATTCCAAATGGTCAAGCAGTTACTAAGTTGTTTGGTCCAAAAACACAATAAGAATGGTATTTACTTGATTCCCACTAAATCAAGATATGACACAAGGTCGATTAACGTGGGAGACCCGAGTGTTTCCACTCATAGGCCACTGGTCAAAATATTGGTCAGAGCTTGTCCAAGCTGGTCAGAGCCTAGTCAAAGCTGGTCATAACTTGTCCTAACAGGTCCAGGCCGAAGCCAGTCCAAGCTAGTCAAAGCTTGATCGAATCTCAGTCTACCACCAAGAAACGATCCATTAATTGTCAAAACCCCCAGCCAAAAAAAGGCCGGGCAGAATGGGAACCTGCCACCCTCAATAAGAATGGGAACCTGCCACCCTCACTAAGTCGTCAACTATGTCCCAAGCTAGCCATAACTGTTATCGCGTTTCTTCGTTCGATTTAGATAGCAAAGCTCGCATATACTGAATTTGGGTCGTTCATTTGTCCGTCTTTTTAACCATTTTATACATCAATGGTTAGCGAAAGGGCATGAAGGAAAAAATAAACAAATGGTGTTACCTGGCCTTTATTCTGTTTTGCATAAAAGTGAATTGTTTTTCTTTTTCTCGCTGGTCCACTTTGTCAACACGACGATTGGGTTAATGTTAAAGTTGATCGGGTTTCCTTTATGTCTCGACGCCCAAGACGGATTTGAAAACAACAAAATTAAAACAAAAGAGGGCACCCTGGTACGCGCCTAACAAGCGCTTGAAATCCCAAATGACACTCATTAGGTTTTCATACAAAGATATAACTATCATGAATCCGTCCAGCGCTGTTATTTAGGCTTACCCGAATCCTTTATGACCCTATTTATTCAGTCATATCCCCTTTTTGCAGATTTCATAAACGATCTTTCCTATCACTGAATATGGTCTTCTTTACCACAGCTAAACACTGATCCCTTTTTTCAGTTTGTCCAAACGTACGGCACAACTACTACTTACTTGTAAAATCCTACTTTTGTGGACTTTTAGATTGCTATAGAAATTCACTTAGATATTCAAAACTGCAAAAATACGCCAATTAAGTTTTAGCAAAACTACAATGGGTCAGTTGTTCATTTCAACAAGTGGAGGACAGTGAAAACTTCTA